GGAAATTTACACTTGATCTTCTCAAGGAATTTGGTTGTCTCACAAACAAAACTGCTGCTTGTCCTTTAGAGGCCAACCTTCAGTTGTATCTTGATGCAGGGCCTCCACTGTCTGATCCTTCTTCTTATAGATGCCTCATAGGAAAATTAAATTTCCTTACTCACACGAGACCTGACCTTGCATATGCAGCTCAGTTTCTTAGTCAATTCATGCAGGATCCCAGACAATTACATTGGAATGCAGCTTTACACACTCTACACTATCTCAATGACAATCCTTCTCAAGGATTATTGTTCAGCTCTACTTCTAATTTCAAACTGGAAGCATATTGTGACTCAGACTAGGCTGCTTGTCCCACTACTCGCAGGTCTGTAAGTGGATACTTTATCATGTTGGGAGGGAGCCCTATATCTTGGAAGGCTAAGAAACAACCAGTTGTTTCCCTTAGCTCTGCAGAAGCTGAGTATAGGTCTATACGACGTGTTACTGCTGAATTAGTGTGGCTTTCTAGGCTCTTATCTGAATTGGATGTTCCTGATATCTTACCTATTCCTGTGAAGTGTGATAGTCGTGCTGCCATTTACATAGCCACCAATCCCGTGTATCATGAACGTACCAAACATATTGAGCTCGATTGCCATTTCGTTCGCGAGAAGCTACAAGAAGGCCTCATCATACTTGATCATGTCTCCACTCATGCGCAACTCGCTGACATATTCACTAAGAGCTTACCAGGACCTATACATCATCGAATATTGCCCAAGTTGGGGGTTGGCTCACCCTCCAACTTGAGGGGGGTGTCAGTAAATAAACTCACTTTATTTGTTTTCTCTTATTTGCTGAGTTGGACAAGTAGATGATGTGGCTTAGAGTCCTTGAGTATAAATACTTGCTTGTATTGTATTTTAGTTGATTTCGAAAAAATCCTGCCAGATATTTTTCTCTCTCATTCTCGTTGGATCAGTTCCTATTTTTACGCTGCAACCTTCAGCGTTCTTCTTCCTTTCATCACGAAGATTTCTCTGAAATCTTCGCCAGACTCATGAAAATCAACAAAAACTGGGGGATGGAGGGAGTAAAATATAAAAAGGAATGGGTGGTTGCGTGTGAATGTGTTGGTAGGAAGAAGAAAGTCATATGCATTCTAATCATCATTGTGTACTTATGGAAGAAATTTGGGAATAGAATGATTACCCTATATTATCCTATTGTTTGAGCTATGCTTTGGGATGGAGTTGTTTGGCTATTTAAGTGTTGGGTTTTCTTCATTGAAGTGTGCCGCAAAGAAAGTTAGTGCGAGTGGGAGGTTTCAGTTTGTTGTTTTTTTGGAGAGAATATCAATTGTTGTAATATTGTGCTGCTGTACTTCCAATTGATATTATAGTGAAAACTTTAATCCGACAGGATCGTGGTTTTTTCCCTAGGTGAGAGAGAGTTCCACATTGAAAATAGTGTGTTGTCCTTTTACTTTTTCTGCATTGTTTTTCCTCCAATTTATATTTGTGAGAGAGCGTTGTTGTTTGAGGGTAATTTTTCCCGACATTTTACATAAGCCGTTACCTCTTTTCAATTGGCACTGAATAAATCATGTTTTGTTTTATACTATCAGTAGGCAGATGCAGATGAGGTTTGGTGTGAGCTTCTCTTCCACGATTCTATCGCTCCTTTTTTTATTTCTTTGTTTTTCTTTCATTTTGTTACTATTTTTTAAAGTGTTATTTTAGAATTTCTTCTATAAAATCGTATAAAAATTCAAAATTGTTTGTATTATATTAAAACAAGTGAAATAAAAAAAATTTAAAAAAAGAAAAAACAAGGTAATGGCAAAATAGGAAAAAACGGTATTGGAAAAATAGAAAAAAAATACATTTATTAACACTTACGGATGATGTATTGGATGAAATGTCCCCTCCCAGTCATTACAACAAAATATAAGGACCTCGGTTGTCTTTTTGAAAATAGAGGGACCTGAAAGTTATTTCGACAAAACTCGCGTCACCCGCGAGTAATTTTCTGAGTTTTCTACCATAAACTGTAGTATATGGGAAAATGATTTAAAGGATGCAGTGTTTGGACTCTGAAAAGCAATTTTCAGAACTGGTTGTTTAATCGTGGAAAACTGAAAAGCAATTTTCCATGGAATAAAATACAATGGCCCTTCAAATTTGAAATGTTGACAATAAAACTCCATGCTAAGCACTTTCGCACCTAAATGAAGAGCAAATCTAATCCAACTCAAGGCATTATAAGTGGAATCATCTTTCAGGCAGAAACGAACAACATACTTGTTTATTTGTGTGCCTCTATAAGAAGCTATGAATGTCCTCTATATTTAGTAATTAATGGTTTATGTCCTGCGAAGTAAGCAACTGATATGTGTAGAAGATTTTTCTGATTTTGTGATGTAGGAGAGTTTTGTGATTTTTTCCCGTTGTGATTTTCGTCTGATTTTTTTTATATTCTAATTCTTTGTTAAAAAATTCCTAGCTTAAAGAATTACACTATGTTTGGTTCAAGGAATTTGGAAGGAAAAGAAAAGAAAATGATTTTCTCTCATTTTTCTCACCAAAATTAGAAGAATTTGGTTTTCCTTCCACTTAGTACATTTTGCATTCACATTTTCCTTTCCTTCCACTTTTCCTTTCTTTTCCTCTCTAGCCAAACAAAAAAATGTTTTCCACTTCACTTTCATTTTTTTTCCTTTCAAATTCCTTGAACCAAACATAGTGTTAAGAGTTTTCCTTTGTTATTTATATAATCATAGTTGTAGAAGTAAAGTTTTGATGTGCTTTTATGTGTTTTTATGAATTAGAATAAATAAATTAAGAATTCACCATCCTCACATGTGTGAAGAGAGTAGATTTAGAAATAAAATTTACGAACCAGAAAAATTTATCTATACAACATCAAGTATCTCATACCCTGCTTTAGTGGGACCCAATTGGGTTGTTGTTGTTGTAACACCGAGTTTGTTTAAGATCCTGCATAATCTTCTTAACAAATTATTTGAGTAGTTGACGAAGGTGTGTGTTTTCTTTTTTGGTAGCATGAATTTGGATTTGTACATGGTATTACTCCCTCCGTCCCCCTGTATTTGTCCACATTTGACTTTTGGAACTGTTCATCTAAGCACTTTGACTCATCAAATTCTTTCAACGTGTAAGCCTAAATATAGTCATGTGTGATCTTGTTTGATTTGTTTTAACATATAGATTATTAATATATAATTACTATAATTTTTTAATATACAAATTACAAGATAAAATGGATTAAAGAAGTGTATTGGATGGTGTGTAAAAATGAAAGTGGACAAATACAGGGGAACGGAGTGAGTATTATTAAGGTTTGTATTGAAATTACAATAATGGGTTCATATATGAGCTTATGTGTGTAGGTAAACACTCACCCTCTATTTGCACATGCTGAAGGTTTCAGGTATATTTTTTTCCCTAATTTTCATTTTTCCTCATTATTGGTTCTCCCAATTCTTTTTCCCAATACTTGTTCCTGCAGATAACCAGCCTGTTGACCTTAAGACTGGCCACATCAATTTTTTCCAAACCCTCAAGTATGTGCCTAACACCAGACCATTTTTAAATTTAATACCTCTAATAAGCCTGCACCTTCTACCCTTTTTCCTATATATGAATATCTTTACATACTCTCTCATTTGGTGTAATTGTCTACTTTCTATAACACCTCATCTTTTAAAGAATTGGGTGAAAAAATGTGGAATGAACCTTCAAATAAGTTAGTCAATCACACTTGCTAAGAGTGTGTATGTTTGAGAAGGGATTTCGTCGAATGCATTCTGTACATTTAAATATTCATTTCAAAATCTACCCTTATTAGCTTGTGGGAAGAACTATGTTGCTTATCTTATTTTTTTTTATCTAAAAAACCAGTTTATGTTTTAGAGTTCAAAATCAGGTTTATATTTAGATTTGTAGCTGGCTGAATAGACTGGGAGTAAAAGGTCATCACAGTTTCGGAAACATTTACACTTTAGCTTGCTTGAACGTTATTTAAGACAATGAAACGAGATTCTCCTGGACTTGATAAGAGTTCAACGGTAGAATGAAGGAATAACATGTTGAGATAACCCACCAGTTTCCGAAACCTGTGATTCCTCATTTCCTCCTCTTCCACGGCTAGCCGATGCACGGTTTGTTTTTTATTTCTTTCGTCATCTCCCTTTTCAAGTGTACTTCATTATATGCTTCTATTTGATCACACCTATCCCTACTTTTTTTTTTTCATTTTTTGTTGTTCTGTATTGATTTTTACCGGTTGCGTATACAATTTCCCAATGGACAATTTTGGAACATTAGACCCATGTTGTGTATTCTTAAAATTAGAAACAGAACAATGATATGTATGTATTCTTTCTTTGTATTTTCATTTCTTTCTCTATTTTTTGGTCTACCAATTTTTAGTTTTTTTTTGTTACTTATGATGTTCTCAACTCCTCTTTGTGGATATTAAACTTATCACCTCACATTATGTTTAAACTTTTCACTTGGTAACACACATTTACAAACATTCATGTTCAGAACTCAACAGCAACAACCTAGTTGGATTCCACTAGAGTAGGGTTTGGGGAGGGTGTGCTTACGCAGACCTTGTTCCTACTCAAGAGTAGAGAGGCTGTTTCCAAGAGACTCTTGGCTCAAACAACAAAGATAAAAAAGAACACAGAAGACATATATAGCAAAGATAACAAGAACACATCACCAAAGGGCATCAAGCCTACAAGCAAGCAGAGCACACAAGTGGAGAAACAACCACAAAGTCCAAAGTGCCTTCGCGGCTACCCTAGTCCTAACTTTCCATCAGTGAATGCATGTTTAAAAGTCATGTTCTTTTTTTGTTAGAATACATGCTAAAAATTTAACCCGCAACTGATCTTCAGTTTTTACAGAATGATGCCTCATTTTAACCTCTGAGTACACAATCACTTCTAATCATTTGTTTTGATTTCCCTCTTCACAATTTCCCTTTAGCTACTAATTATCAAAGTAATTAATGCGTGTTTGAAAACATGGATTTAGATTTGAAATTCAGGTTTGGTCCAAATGTCATGTTTGGCAATCCAAAGAATTTGGATTTGAATTTGATTCAAATTCTTCTAATTATCAACAATCCAGTTGCAAATTCATACTCTTCCCCATGTCATTTGAATTGCTAGCCAATTAAAACGTAAGCACACATAAAAAGTAACTCTCGTCGAGTACTCCAATCGTCTTCACTCATTCACTCGCACATCTGCAAGGCACGATACTCGTGCTCAATCGCACATCATCGAAGATCAAGGCTAGGGTTAATATGAGTGAAGTTTTGCTTTTAATTTTGTAATTAACTGTGTTCTGACTCATTCTTCTGAATCGTATATTCTTTTTATATTTATATTGTCACTTTTATCTGGAATAGTAGTGTATAAAAGATTTCTAATTAGTGTAAACAACGAAGATTAGTTTACTTAATCACACTACATGCCCTCCCCCATAGTTATGACTTCTGTCTAGTCGTGGTGATGAGTATCTTCCATTAAATTTAAGGCAAAGATTAAGCCAAGAGCAACATATGGAGAAAAAACAAAAATAAAAACCTTAATATTTTATTCGAAATAAAGAGTTACAATGTCAATAATATCAACATATAACACCGAAAAATATTATAGAACACCAATCTTATTTGTCAAGATAATATTTATATCTCATAAAATTCGATATCATCATTAAGAAGAGCTTAGAGTAATACGGAGTAGATTCTAAATGTCAAGTACCAATGTTATTTACAATTGCGTTTTTCAAAAGGGTAGTGTTATATCCACTCGTATAATGGTTAAATTCACTCTAGTTATGTAAAATAGAGTGCATGTAGTCGTAATGGGGGTGGATATAGCGATACCTTCTTCAAAATTGGTAAATTATTTTAATTTTATGTTTTGATGTACTTCCCCCGTCCCAAAAAGAATTTCCTACTTTAAATAACGTGCAAAACCACGTAGATTTTGAAATGATTTTATTTGCAAATTGGTAAGGAAATAACACATAAAAAAATTATACTGTAATTAAAAACTACATCAAAAACTCTACAAATTAAGAGGTGACAAGAATATTTTATTTAATGAAATGATCAATGAAAACACGCAAACAAATAAGAGTTATCGAGAGACCGTAATAATAAATATGAAAGACTTTTTGGGACGGATAGAGTAATAAATAAGTTGACAAACTACTAGGTTTCCAGTTTATTTACCTCTTAAATACTCCGTCGTTTTTTAGTACAGTATCTCTTAAATATTGATACAACAATAAATTAATAGGGAGTAGTAAAATGTTAAATTAAACTTATCTTTAGCTAGGGATGTACAAAATCTAGGTCGGACCGGAAAAACTAGACCGCATTGAATAAACCAGTTCTGGGCTAGATCGGTAAAATTCAAACCGGTGTCCAGTCTAAAGAGTAAGGACGGGTAAAATTATGGTCCATTTTGGTCCAAGACCAAATAGTTTCCGGGTCGGTCGGTGAGACTGGAATATAATTATTCTACGCCCTTCGTCCCAAAAAGATTTATACCTTTCAAAAAAATTGCGTCTCACAATCTCCTACCCATTTCTATTAAAAAACAACTTTTACCTCTTACTTTTTCAAACCCTACCTATCACATCATACCTTTTTCCTAATAATCTACACATCACATCCTACTTTTATCCATCACATCAACACAAAATTATCTTTCCCTTAATTTCAACTTTAGTCAAAACGTGTAAATCTTTTTGGGACGGAGGTAGTAATTTTTTATTTTTAATACCTATAAAACAGAGTATGTGATTATAAATGTAACTTTGTATTTTCATCTTTCCTTCTTACTTTAATATGGAGTATAACCTTTTAAATGTAATGCATATTTTTTTTAAATTCATTTTCATTACTTTTTATACTCCGTAATTACTATCATTGGTATTTACCCAAGAATCTCCATAAAAAAACTTAAATTATTTCAAAAAATTGAAGTATAATATTTCAATCTAGAATTTTAGATATTTTGACATTTAACTATTTATTGGTAAAAATGAAATACTTTAAAGTACAATTTTATAATATGTTTGAGATCTCACAAGCTAACGAAAGTATAAAACTCATTTTAAAATTATCATATTGTTAATAAAAAGATATTTTACATGAATATGATTTCTTGACACTGTCCAATGGACATAAATATTAAGACTATGGTTGAAATATATTCAAATCAAGATACGTTGTCAAAAAATAAGTTAATACCATTTCGAAAAAAAATTACTTCTTCTATTCCTTTAAATCCTTCGCATTTTGAGTTTGGGCTAAAATAAAAAAAGTGTAATTTTGGTTGACTTTTCAATTCTGCCCCTAATGTGATGTGTAAAAGTAAGATGCAATAGTTTGGTTATTAGTCAAAAAGTATGATGTGATAGGTATGGCATAAAAAAGTAATGGTAAAAGTGGTTTTTAAATAGAAAATTGAAGTGTATTAAGGAATTAGGAAAAAAAGAAAGGAAAAGGATTTTATGCTACAAAGAGAGTAATAATAATAGATTTCGCTTTTTTTTTTCAGTTTTTACCCAAATTGGATCAGAAAAACCCAAGTGCGGACTGATCCGGTTGTGGACGGGTACCCCTATGTTTAGCCGAACTAAAAAGTACAGTAAATGAAACCAAACAGTTACTAATCCGGACTCGCCCGGTAAAGGAATTGGAAAGTTAATAAATAGTGGGTGCGGAGCAGAATGTGCGCCGGGCACACTATCAGTGACCCAGTCACGTGCCATCTGACGACTGCGTCGGGCTTTTCGCCTCTCACTGCAAATTCTGCAGACCCCTCCCATCACCATCCAACCCCGCCCTCTACTTCAAACTCCCTCTTTTTCCTCTCTCTCTTCTTTTTTATTTTGCATTAAAAATAATCTCCGTCCCACTCTTTTTGTCCACTTACCTTTTGGCACATCATCCAATGCATTTCTTTAATTCATTTTATCTTGTAATTTGTATATTAAAAAATTATAGAAATTATATATTTAATAATCTATATGTTAAGACAAATTAAACAAGATCACACATGACTATATTTAGACTTACACATTGAGAGAATTTGATGAGTCAAAGTGTTTAGATGAACAGTTCCAAAAGTCAAAAGTGATCAAAGAGTGTGAGACGGAAGTAGTATAAAATTTGTGTAAGTACTAGGTGGTGAAGGCTATAGTCTTGCGGCCAACTAATCTTCGATCAAAGGTGTACCCCTAGCATTGCTCTTTTTTTTTCTTTTCTGAACTCACTATTTTTACTCTTTATTTCTTTTTTTACCCTAAAAAAATTCAAGAAACAATTCTTTTCATACCAAACTTATTTGCAGCCTTTTTTCACCACGCACGATTACCATTATGATGCATGCTATGCTCTCCCTTTTTTCTACTGCTTGTACTACCCCGCCTAGCTCTTCTACAGTCTCACTCCCTAACGTACCCCTCACTTCAACCCTCATTCCACTCACAAGTCACTACCCAAGCAATATATACGGAGTATTACAAACTGGATTAAGCTATTTGTACACCAAAATTTGTATTTTATATTATACCCCAAAAAAATGTACTGATATTTTATGCTATTGTGATGTTACTGTGATAATTTACATTGACAAAAAATATCAGTGCAATTTTTTTTAATTAAACTAACATTTTCTGCAGGTATGAAACGTTAAAATGTCGGTGTGTTTTTTTGGGGAAAGTAAATAAGAAATCACCCTAGGCAGCACTCTAAGTCATTCAATATTACACATATAACACTCATTAATCTTTTCTACGAATTTAGCTATTTATAGTATCAATATCTTTCAAGCATAACATCTACCTTTTATTATATTCTACTATTTTTAATTACTTTTAATTATTTGATTAAACATAGGTTATTCACATAGCCACTCCTCCTCATTCGTGCGTCTCATACGTGCAAAAATATTATCTTACGTCGTTTACCATAGCTCGGTGAGATCCTCCTCCTACGCAGTTTACCAATGTATAATGCCTAAACAAGTTCGTACGTCTTAAATTAAGTTCCATATTTGACGCCCATGTTTGGCCAGTGTGTTTTGGTGTAATAGATTATTCATGAAATCAGTCATACATTTTAAGGCAGTTTGGAATTCATACATGAAAAGAGTCATACACATTTTTGTTAGTGTGGAATTCATACATGAAAACACTGTCACATAAATCATTGGACATTATACTCCAACATGAAATTAAGAAACACAGTAATACACTTAGACACTGCGGTAAGAAATAACAACATATAACAATTCTCCACTACGACATTATATACTCACATATAAAAAATACACTGCCCACTATACAGTTACATGTGAACAATCACACTGCTCAAAAGAATAATTTTTTGGCAGTGTGTATAAATATTTGATGTTTAATTAAAAGATAAAATTAGAATCACGAGTACGAAACATATAACACTGATATTCAGAATATTTAAAAGTTCTAAGAGTGCTAAATAGTGACTCCCCCCATGTTTGGGTTCATGTATGGATAATTTAACAACCAGTTTTATTGGAAAGAGTAAGAACATAATAACTTTGCATGAGCATGTGCAAAAATTAAACATCATTTGTGATGAAGAAAACACAATTGGCAAAATCATGGTGTACACTATTTTGGTGTACCCCTAACTTTATTGTACAAATTATGGTACAATTAGAACTGAGAAGAGTAAAACTTTACTTTTATATTATTTCACTCTCTCATGAAAAACTCAACAAACGTATTCTAAACCTCGTTCGTCATGTAACAAATTAAAGATATGTCTCTATATCCCTAGCGGCTATCATCACAAAACCACTTCTACCGACTTCATTTCAATACTTGTACTCCAAAGAGACATTCGTTAACAATGTTCAGCTTGTGGAGATAATAGAAAACAAACTATTATTGATATTTACTTCTATATTCTATCGTAATCATAATTATTTTATTTTACTATGATGTTTGACTGAAGTAATTTTTAAATCATTTTTTATGAAAAATGGTATAGAATTGAAAAATAAAAATTACATATTAAAAAACTATATCAAAAGATGTACAAAATTAGAGGTGACATGACTATATTATTTTATCAAATGAGGGACAAAAATAGGTCAACAAAGTGACTACAGTTTGACACTGTAAATATTGAACGTAAAATTTATTTGTGGACGAAGGGAGTATTTAATAAGACCAACTATTAGGGAGTATTTGTTTATAAAATTTCATTTTTACTCCTACACCCTTACCTTAAAATAAATGAGCCTTCATTAAATTTTGTTTCTACCACTGTACTAACTGTGCTCCATGAAAAGATGGACGGGTTCTGGAAAGATTAAATTTTTATTAATACTCCGTATGGAATATTTATTTTCATTAATAAATGGAAACATGAACAGACGCATGCTTTAATTAACAACCCCTCCTTTCCATTCAAAGATTCATCAAAACACAAGAGACGGTTTCTCCATTTTTGTGCTTACCCGTCTTAGCAACCTTTGTTTGTTTTTTTTTTTTGCTTTAACGTTTTTTCTCTGAATAAATTGATGGTATTAGGCAGGCATAGTGGAGGGTAGAAAAAGAAATTCACAGTGGCTGTTGCATGGGGACAACATTTTTTTGTGTAAAAAAAAACACATTAATTTTCATGATGTTCATAGTAGAGATACAGAGAGAGCTCTGTCACCACTGCTCTGATTTTTTGTTGTTATTATTTTCTTCACACAAAACTTTTGTTGCAGTCTGCTACACACACACTCTCTCTCTCTAATAATCTCTCTCTCTCTATCTCTGTATTAGCTTCTCACCTGCCAGCCAGAGCAGAGCAACCAAACACTCAGTAATAATTTCTCCTCCGCCAGTCCTTCCTTTCTCCAAAACCCCACTCCAATATACGTACCTATGTGTTTGTATATATGCCTAAGAGTGGCACACATTAATGTTGTCGGCGTTGAAAACCATGCATCATGGGATGAACTGTTTTTAGTAGTAGTAGTACTCGAGTTCTTTTGTTAGTACATGTCCAAGTGCTGTGTGTGACACCCCCCAAGAACCCACCTTTTTAAAGGTTGGTGGTGGTGAAATCTTGGGGAAATGGCTGGTTCTGGTGGTGGCGTGCCCACTCTGCCACCGCCTCAGCCCAAATCGCCGCCGCGGTACCCGGATTTGTACGGGAAGCGCCGGGAATTGGCCAGGGTTCAGATGCTTGAGAGGGAAATTGGCCTTCTTCAGGTGAGTTCTTGTTTTAAATTAAAAAGATGTGTTGCTGATTTTTTTTTATTCACAAAGATGAGTTATGTTTTATGTGTTCTGAGAAATTGCCAAAAAAAGAATGTGTGGGTTGTTGAGGACATCACAGAGATGGTAACTTTTTCCTGAGTGTAGACTGATTTTGATTTTATTTACAGAATGTTGAAAATCTTCACAGAGTGGTAAAAACAAATTGTGCAATTTTGGTAACTTTAGCTGTCCTTTTCATTGCCTCTTTTGTGTAGTGTAGCTTCTTCTGTAACACATTCTTCTGCATAGAATCTGAATTCTTGTTTTGGCTTTTCCTATGTAGTTAAGCTAGGGGATTAAAATCATGTATTTTGATTATTTTTAAGGTTGTCTCTTGTTCATGACTTGGGATTAGCTTCTCTGCTTAATCATATGTTTGACTTTCTGGGATTATATACTTAACCAGATTTTGAGCTTCATTACCATTTAACAGTAGAAATTGGTCCTTTCTGTCGAAATGCTGGGCAAATTGTGTGTTCATTCATGCTAATTATATTGTAGACTCTCCCGGTAGATTAAAATTTTTTGATAATTTGCTCATTTGAGCACATTATATCAAAATGACATATCAAACTTCCTTTGTTTGTCATCTTCAATGAAGGGTCTAACGGAAACGTTCTCTCTGTATTTTTCCGGGTAAAGTCGGGTTGCTGGTGTTGTTTGCTCATTCTTTTGCTAAATTCTAAGGGTCTGAAATGGCATTACCATGTCGCCAGTCGGCAAGACAAATGCTTTTCATAGGATTCAAAAGTGTATAGACACAAGTGTTCTTTAAGAAGATAGAAAACTTTTCTCATTTTCTTGACAAACACTTCTTTTTATATGGCACATTGGGTTTCTACTTCCATTTGTAGTTCTTTTTTAATGTCTGTAGAATTTTGTCGTAACCTGTTTTCGATTGTTCTTGTGCGAGCAGGAAGAATTGAAATTTGTGGACCGCCTACAACCTGCTTCCAGCTCATGTAAAGAGTACGTAATTCAAATCGATCTTTTAATTGGTTCACTCGGAATCTCAACACGTTTTGTTCATTTCTTCACTTTAAGCTGAAGAAGTTTGGGACTTGCAGGGTCACTGATTTTGTGTTTGCCCATCCCGATCCTCTTTTGCCAACGTAAGACATCATAATCTATTCACTTATTTCTAGCTGTCTGCACCCACAAACAAGATGAATGCGCATTTTTTAGAACAAAATGTGCATAATAAGGTGGTCTAACCTCGTTTTTTTGGTTTTTGGAACTTTTCTTGATTATGTCAGAATCAAGAAAACCAGAAGATGCTCTCGGATCTGGAAATGGCTATGGTATGCTCTCCTCAAAGTCTCATTTATATCATCATCAGTAACAAGAGCAAGCAGCAATTTAGTTATAAAAACTTAATCTTTGGGAACTTAGAACTTGATTCACCTTGCATCTTCATAAATGTCACATGGCCATAAATTTTGTGCTAGTACATAAAATGCATCATTTTGAGACAAGTAAATGCTGCAGATTATTAGTGTTTCATCATTCATAGACCTGATCTTATGAGCACAATATGAAAGAATCAATTCAATCAGAAACTCAAGCTTCAAAGCTTGTAGTCAAAGACCAAGAACTGTTTTTTTTCAATATTCTTAACAGTTTTATTTTTACCATCTCGTGTAGCGGGGCGTCATGTTTCAGCATGTCATGGATATGTTGTTGTCCCTGTCCTCGCATCAAGATGCCTTCGTGCTCCTGCTGCACCTGCAGTCCACGATGCCCGTCCTGCTTCTCCTCCTCGTGCTGCTGCTCTCCGCCTTCTTGCAAAACCCCTTCCTGCAGACCATCTTCCTGCATCAGCTGCTGTTCATCGACGTCTTCATCATGCACCAAATGCCCTTCTCCATCATGCCCCGGCTGTTCCCTCTCATGCAAGGTGGGTCCCACCTGCTGCTCGTTACCCAAATGCGGGCGTTGCTGCTCTTGCCGAGACGCAACATCTTCTGGTTGCTGCAGCAACAAGTGCTGCTGCACTTGTTCTTGCAATAGCTGCTGTACGCCGAAATGCCCGAACCCTTCTTTTTCTTCGTGTTCTAAGTGCTCCTGCCGCTGCAAATGCAGCGGCAAATGCTGCAGCTGCTGTTTTCCGGTCAAATGTCCAAAGCTAAATTGTTGCAGCTGCAGCTGCTGCTGTACAAATTGCTCCTCATGCTGCTGCAATCCTTTTAACTTGTGTTGTTTCTAGTACATGTTCTTCAATCATTTCAAACACTTGTTGCATAATGTCTCCAAAATTACATCAGTGTTAAATGTATATTCAAAGTTGCTCACTTGAGGTTCGGTTCTCGAAGATGGAAAACGACCCTTCAATCTTTGAAATTACCCAGAAAATACACACACACACGCCTTGATGAACGACTTGATCCGGCCATCAAGGCTAATGTGTGTTTTTTTGTTATCAACAAAGTCATTTTCCCTGTCTTGTGTTTAGCTAAGACAATGAAAATGATTCATTTCATGGCAGTCTTTTTTCCGGAAATAATTTCTCAAAAAGATTGCAATATTATGTTAAACCAGGTAAATTTTTGAGTTTTTTAATTTATTTTATTTAAAGATTGTTATAAAAAAAACTTACACATTTAAAAAAACTATGTTAAAATTTCTACAAAGGAAAGAAATGACAAAAATATTTTATTTTATCAAATAGTCAATTAAAAACTCAAAAATTAACAAAAATTCTCGTGATTTTTAATAGTGAAGTGTTGTAATCTTTTTGTGGGACGGAGAGAGTATTTGTCATGAATTTCTTTCTGTGGGCTTTTTGTAGGTGCCGTCTAAAAACAGGGAGATTTTTGAGGTTGTGTCCTGGTTTCGGATAATAGTTTGTTGGTGGGTTTGTTTATGGGGAATTGGAATGAAGAATTGGTATAGTCCCAAGAAGACCTAACACTTGGGTCTCACATTTAAATGGGGAATCCAAGGAGACCTTTTCTCGTTTTTGCTGCCTTTCTTGTACTATGTGTTAAGGCTATGTGTTAAGGTTGTAAATGGATAATCGAAAATTTGATTACCCGCATTCGTTAAAAATAGTTATTAACCGCGTCCGATTGGTAGACGGATACTACATGCGATCCGTTTATAATCGGCTTTGCATAGACATTTGTTTATCAGTATATCCGATCTATAATATATAATTTTTTCTATTTTTTTATTATTATATTTTGTTTTTCTATTGACACCTCAAAGTAAAAGATATTTTTATATACAAAATATATATGTAGACACATAAAAATATGTGTGTATGTGTATTCTGTATATCTTTTTACCATATAGAGTTATCGTAAAATATTACTATAAATTATAAAAATAAGAAAAAATTACTCTGTAACAAATTACAGTTGAATAAATGAAATTTTGACTTGAATTAAATTGGAAATTAAAATATTTTTCAATTTAACTTAAAAAATTGAAAACGGATTCGGATATATCCGACATCCGACCGATGTGTTTACAGTTTTGATTTTTAGTATCTGTCAAGATCCGTATCTAAATTCAATATCCGATTAAAATAAACGGATATGGTTAATGCCACATTCAATCCGATTAATATCCGTTTACACTCCTACTACATGTTTTTTTCTAAATATTTGACCCGAGTTCGATACCTGGCAACTCTCCTGGGAGGCAACTATGTTCAGCATAGGGTCTCTACAAGTATCAGTTACAAGCTTCATTCTTTGATCAATCTACGATTAAATTGTAATTTACCTCCTTTTAGTGACCGTCCAGCCGTGTCTGAGGGGGCCTCAAGGATGGGGCCCATCTTGTTTTTTTTCTCAACTTTTTTTTGTAATCTTCATTTGTACAAAGGGACCGTCCCACATTAGTTCACTCCTATTTTAATTCTTTTCTATTTTAATATTTGTACTCTTATACTCCCTCCGTCCCAAAATATAAGCAACATTACGCTAATCGAAATAATTTTTTGAATTTTTTCAATCCATTTTATTTAAAGAATGGTCTACAAATAAAAAATAAAACCTACATATTTAAAAACTACGTTAAAAGTTATACAAAACAAGTGATGATAAAAATATTTTATTCTATCAAATAAGCAATGAAAATGCAAAAATAAATAAAAGTTCCCGAGATTTCTAAATAGTGGAGTGTTGCTTATATTTTCGGATGGAGGGAATTTGATCTTATTTATTTAAATATTGTATACGTATAAGTTAAAGTTGGTACTTGAAATAAAGGGACCAAGTAGTACAGCGAGTAATTTTAAATCACTATTTTTTTGAGGTGACATGACTGTAGGGGTGTTCATCGGTCCGATACCGGACCGGACCGAAGACCGAAATGAGAAAAAATAAGGACCGAAGACTAGACCTATAAGTCTCAGGTTTAGACTGGACCGAACCGAAAACCCTTAGACCGGACCGGTTTTGACCGAAAAGATCGAAATGTACTAATTCTTTTACTTTTTAGAATTAATTTTTTTAAATATTTTACAAGTAGAATAACCCTAAAAATGTAATTATACCCAAAAAAATATAGTTCATCACAAATCATAATCGGAAATTAGAGATGCAATTGTATTAAACTGAAAAAACTTCATTATGCAATTGTATAAAAAAATGGCAGTAACTTGGATTTTATTTCTTCATTAGATTCCTTCCAAAACTAAACCAAAAATAACAATGGATCACAAATCATAGTAGGGAATTGGGGACGCAATTGTATCAAAGTGAAAAAAATGGCAGTAACTTGGATTTTATTTCTTCATTAGATTCCTTCCAAAATGGAACCAAAAATAACAATTGATCACAAATCATAGTAGGGAATTGAGGATGCAATTCTATCAAAGTGAAAAAACTCCATCATGCAATTGTATAAAACGGATACTAAGAAGCCCTGCTCGCGAATTATACCTCTCAATTTGGTACAAATCGGACAATAAGAAGCCCTGTTGGCTCGCCAATCAAGGCCGGCCGCTGAAATCGAATTCTGGGGTTCTTCTCATAACCGGAAATGGAACTCTGAAGATCGATTCCTCCGGGGATTTGATCGAGCTTTACTCCTGTCAATCGGAAGCCAAAGTGAGTGCTGTTTTGCTGGATAATGGGAATTTTGTGCTGACAGAAGATGGAGATTGTCGATTCAAGAGTGAGATGGAGAAACGACACCAGAGAAAAGGGATAGCCGGATAGGGTAGGGTTGTAGAAATTAGGAATTAAAGGGTTTTATCAGTTAGTTGGTCCAGACCGAATGATAATCGGGTATGGACCGGACCGGATCGAAACCCAAAATCATATATCCTCCGGACCGAAGAGCGACTCAATATCAATTCGGTCCGGGTTTGGTCTGGACCTATCGGTCTGGTCTAGTCGGTTTTTTCGGTCCAGACCTAAATATGAACACCCCTAGACATGAGAGTCTTTTTTTGGATCCATTTTATTAGAGTGCATCCCACATTGAAATTCCAAGAATAAAATAATCAGTATATTTGAGTTGAATTAACTAATTGATTGAATTCAATCTTTTAATATGGTTCAGTTCAAATGTCTTATTACCCAATCCAATGATCCATACCACATCCTAAATTCTATCACATTTGAATCCCAAATTAGACATGCTCTTAGACCATACGGTTCACGATCTCATTCTCACAGTCAAGATATGAAATGTATTTTTTACCTTATCGTTTTTTTAACTGTCAAGGTATGAAACGTAAATGTGACTTGTATGCAATCCCATGCATGTAAGAACTACATTTAGATAAGTATTCTAGTCATTTACTCCCTTCGTAATTGTGACTTGTATGCAATCCCATACATGTAATTTAAAATAATTTTATTTACACATTGATATAAAAAAAAGCACAAATTGCATCATTTGAAACTACATTTAAAATTCTATAAAATGTATCAGTTTATCATATTGGCAATGAAAACATGCATGCAAACATAAAATATTGAAAGACCATATATTAACACTAAAGATTAATTTGAGACGAATCAAAAACAAATTTTACACAGAAAAAAACAATTTAACAAAAAATAATACCCCGTAATAAAGACTAGGGACTAGAACTAGACTCGCCGATCCCAGACCATGTTCCACCCACCACTGATACGGGTGGTGGAACCATGTCCTAGCAGTTCCAAAACCAAAACTAGTCTGGAACCGGTCCGTGTCTAAGTCTACTCCTACCAAACATTTTTCGATTATTGATTTAGTATTTTAGTGGGTCATGGATTCCAAATTTTCATTTTTGTAGTACCAAACACAACACAAGTCCACTCTCATTTGCCTTTTTTTTCCCAGATAGTTCATGAAATCCACATTCCGGAATATAATTAATTTAAATGGACATTTGGGCCTGCATAGTTTGTTAGGAAACCAAAGGCCCATAATCCCCTCCACTACAACTTAGACAGATATATAGAATGTAATAATCAATCACTATGAGAGTTGGGCCCAGGAGAAAGCCACTGGACTCTTCACTTGATTCTCTGCATTGTTCCAAGAAATGGATCCAAATTCATTCTTAGGACCCTTCACACCCTTCTTGGACACAAATGTGGCTGTGTACCTCAACTTTTCCCCCACCTTCTGGAACACCAGCCTCCTCGGCTTCACCGTGACCCAAACCGACGACGGCGCGTCCACCGACACCTCGTACGCGGACCCCGCTGGCCCCACATTCGTGAGCTCCCGGGTGTACCGGACGACCCTCGAGTCTCGGAACACCGCCGAGAACGACGGGTAGTTCAGCTGCCCGGGGTCCTTGAACTTTTTGTCGCACGTCACGTTCGCTCTCTTGGCGATTGCCTCGACGTGCTCCTCGGCGTAGCCGAGAGAGCACAGGAACCTGACATAGTGGGACGGGCGGATGTCGTAGACGAGACCCGGATTGAGGGCCTTGTGGGGGTTGACGTGCCCCGATCCGTGGGCCCACGGGGTCGAGAGCTTGTTCCCCTCGGCGTCCCGGAGGGAGGAGTTGGTGTTGTCCCTGGTGTATGCGGTGGTCATGAGTGCGGATTTGATTGCACTCGGGCTCCAGTTGGGGTGTGCCGCTTTGAGCAAAGCGGCCAGCCCGCTAATATGGGGACAAGACATCGAGGTTCCTGCAGTGGATTTATCATTGGGTCAAAAGATGGGCCCAATGGGAAATGAATGACAAATCCATGATATGGGCTCTGAATAAGACTAAATTTATTGATGAGGGCAAGAAAGTCTGTAAGGCATGTAATATAATGTATTGAATTACCTATAATCATGGGATTTAGGTGAAGCATTGATGACTCATTTACTATATAATATGAGATTATGATATTACAGTATGAAAGATGAGTTTAACTACTGATAGGTTTGAGTTCACATTGGTTGACAATAAATACCACATTATGGTTTTGTTTGAAAAAGATTTTTAAAGTCAAAACAGCCTTTCAATGATTGATGAATTCTTGAAAGCAATTTCTTTGAATAATTTACTCTCAACGGCTCAAACTACTTTGAACTTGAACTTCTTCACATTAAACCCTCTTGAAAATCACTTGATTTATAGATTTCGAAAATATTAACTAAACCAATAAACGAGTTTTGAAAATGTAAGCGTCAGAATTTACCCAATAATCATGGACCTATGAACAGGATTAATATACAGAATAAATGACTTGCCCTACTCGTTTGGTCACACGAGACTTAAGCCCGTTACTCGAACTAAAAACCTCGGTGAGCAAGTTTAACTGCATGTTTGATGATAATTTCACCATTCGACTTTAGTGGCTTGGGTACATTATCTAACAATTACGTTTAGATTTAACATTTTCATAATTAATTCGTATCGTTTAAAATTTATCTAAAACGTTAAAACTGATATATGAATGACAATAATAATAAATGTAAGAAATGATAGCTTCAGATATTCAGGAAAAATAAATAAATGGTCGGGAAAAGTGTACGTTATGAAACGCTTACCAGAGAGGATGTTGAATGGGGTTCTCCTGGTGTCCTGCTGAAGCCCAGTGGGCCCCGTAGCCATGGACCAAGCTGCCAAGATATTAACGCCAGGCCCAATCACATCGGGCTTTAATATTTCCGGGGTCACGGTGTTGGGCCCCCTCGAGCTGAACGCCGCCACCACCGGCGACGGTTTCACGTTCAGAACCGTCCCACCGAAGCCGAGCACCGCCGTGGGATTCTTAGTTCGTTTTACATAGTCCCTTATGGCGTCTCCCGCAGTCCTCCCCACCGCCACCGCCGGCAGTAAGTGGCTGTCCGCCACCAACTCCTCCCCGCTGGCCTCCGTGTTGGCTATAATCATCCCCACCCCGCCGGCTTCCTTCACCACCTCTCCCTTCTCCACCCTCGGATTGGACCCCCGATCACACAGAACCACTTTTCCTCTGACCAATTTCGGGTCCAGAGAGCCGCGGAGGCACAAATTGCCGGAAATACTGTTTCCTGAGCTGTACACCAATCCGATTGGCCGTTTCCCTAATCCTTTCCCGCTGTACAAGGACACTCCGGCGAGCCTTTTTCCGGTACCCAATGTTGCATATGCCGGAAAGTCGCGGTCAATAGTTCCGGCTCCGACCGTCATGATCCAAGGAGCAACATTGGCCACCGTCGCCTTACTTGGCCCACTGTTTCCGGCGGAGCAAGAGACAAAAATCCCCTTCTCAATTGCGGAAAAAGCTCCGATTGCAATAGTGTCACGGTAGTAGGGAACAGAGCCGCCGCCCAATGACAAAGAGAGAACGTCCACGCCGTCGAGGATGGCCTGTTCCATCCCGGCCAGGATGTCCGACCCGAAGCACCCGGAAGTCCAGCACACCTTGTAGGCAGCGACCCTGGCGTGGATGGCCATCCCGCGGGCTACGCCGGCGGCGTAACCGAAGAGGCTAGCGTTTGCCACATAGGAACCAGCGGCGGTGCTGGCGGTATGGGTCCCGTGACCCTCCGTATCACGGGGTGATTCTGTTTCCGTTATCAGCCCCATGCCGGAAGCCATGTGGAATCCTCTGGCAAAATAACGGGCTCCGATAAGCTTCTTGTTACAGTGGACCTTCGGGTTGAAATCTGACCCGGCTACGCACTTCCCACGCCACCGTGTCGGGATTGGGGGCATGCCAAAATCGCTAAAACTCTTCGATTCCGGCCACACGCCGGTGTCCAACACACCGATGATGACGTCCTTTGTGGCCAAGTTGAGCTCCTGCAAGCCGTGGCCGGAAGAAAGGCCGCCGGAAACAGTTTCCAGTCCCAGAAACCCCGGCGTGCGGGTGGTGTGCAGAGCGTACACCGGATCCTCGTAGACCCCAACAACGCCGTCAGCCTTTCGGAGCGATTCCGCCTCCTCCGGATCCAAAGCGGCGGCGAAGCCGTGGTAGGCGGTAGTGTAGGTATACAGAAGTGAATCTGAAGCGGAGGATACCGACTGTAAATTGGCAGCATACCAGTCCCGGTGGGTCGGGAACGAAGCAGGCTTTTCGGTGTGCTTCATTTGGACAATGTAAGTTGTCTTCGAAGCCGCCGGAGAAGGGCGGAGGAGCAGGAGGACAGAGACGGTGGCGAACCAAAGTACGGCGGAGCCCATTGCGGCAGAAACGGACGGTGGGATGGGCAGTTGGGCACTATACAGCACAACGGACAGAATTTGTCGTGATTATAAACATGGGGAGTTGTAGATAAAGGCTTGGAATTTGTCCTTTTTACTCTTAATGCCACTAGAGAGAAAAAAGGACGTCCTCATCCGCTTGAGATCTCGGGTGAATTCAATTTTTTAAACTGCTTCGTAGAAGTTAAAAGTACAATTTTTAAAGTATAAAGTATTCATTTTCAAAACGTTCTACTCCGTACATTTTATGTAAAATGAAGAGATAATCAAAATACTTGTTTTTTCAAATAATTAACTGAAACGTATAAATAAATTATAATTTTCGTAATATTTTATTAGTAAAAAATATATTTCCTTTGAAAACCGAGGAAATTGAATTTTGAATGGTATGAGAGTCATTTTTAAGAGATCTCATTTTTAAGATTTTGGTCTCTGCATTCATTTCTAGCAGTTCACAAGTCTTAACTTAGTTGTTAGGAAGTGTTTTGTGACCCATTTAATCTGACTATTTATTTTGAAGTTCATACTCAACAACTCGTGATCATATAAGTGTTGTCATCACATTCTCAAATACTGGTTTCAAGGAAAAGAGAGTATATTTTCAACTACTCCCTCCGTCCAATTTTTTTTTCACGGGACTTGACATGGAGATTAACAAAAATTAAAAAATGTAAAAAATTTATGTGTCTTGTTATTAATATGATTGATTAAAGTAAATAGTTTAAATGAAAACGAGGGTATAATGGTACATTCATTACAACTTTTTTGTCAAAATATGAAACGAGAAAGAAATTTTTAGATGCCCAAAAAGGAAATGGAGAAAGAAATTAATGGACAAAGGAAGTATGTTCAAAGGTTAATTAATTTTTAGTTCAAGATTAAGTGAGTGATAAGGAGTAAAATCGCATTATTATTATTATTAAAATAATATATGTGGTTGCCTCTATTCACTCTTCTTTGGATTTTTATTATATTCACTATTCCATTTTTGAACTTTATCATCTCATTTTCTATAAAACCCATTAATGTTTGACAGCTTAAAGCATGTATTGTAATTATGTCATTTATTTCATAGCAATACTAATTTCTTTTAAGAGAATAAAAATTGATGGAAAGAAAAAATAACTACTCATTTATGAATAGCATAAAAATTTTATAATCTCTCCATTGCAAAAAAAAATTTCGTGTGTGAGAAAAGTGTACCTTAAGAATGCATGGGTTTGGACTTTGGTGTTATCTATCCTACACACTATATAGTACTCTATTACTCTGAATAAAATAAGAGCAAAATTATACAATAATATCATAACTATCCATTTTAACAGCATGCATTTTTTCAAACAAGAAGAGCTTTTTTAGGATGGAGGTAGTAAGTAAAAAACAAAGACCAAAGAAGAAATATGCAAAGACCCAAGAGTATTGAAGTTAATAACTACAATAAAAATACAAAGACCAAAGAGTGTTCAAGTAGAAATGGTGAATCAATTTATAAGGAATTTCAAAATTGAGATTTTTTTAATAGAAGAGTTCGCATCTACTTCAAGTACACCACGATTTTAAAAAGGGTTAATTGCTTATCCTAAACATAAGGCATCTGTAAGTGTTATGTACATGTTTCACTTCGTGATATCAATCTGCGATTAAAATCTAATTTATTTTTTTTAGTAACTGTCTGCCTGATTTTGAGCGAACCCTCGAGGATGAGGCTCATCCTTTCTCTTCTTTTTTTTTTCTTTTCAAAAAGGGTTAATGGCAAAGCACAATGTAATGTAAGATAGCTTAATTAATTTATAAATGGTGAAGTGCGTACGTGGGTGAGTTATGTTGCTCCCTTTTTTAAAAGCACAAAAAAAGAAGAATTATAAAGGGAAGGCACTTGAATCACATAAAGAGCATTCTTCGCTGTCTCGCTAGTCGCTGCTACTTTTCATTTTACCTATCATCCTTGCCTCTTTTTTTGTTCTAAATTGGTGTTCATTAGGGGTATTTTTTTATATTTTGATATTTTTTTATCATTAATTAAATAAAAATAACATTACACACTAGTAGTTATTATAACAATAGCGTACTTAACTAGATTCATTTTATAAAATATTTTTTTAAAAATTATGATATTGTAGTACTTAAAAATACATTGTATCGGAGTTAGGGGGCAATAGGCGAAATGGGGGCGGGGGTGCTGGATGGGGTGGGGTGGGCAGGTAGGAGACAGGGGGTAGGGCTTAGGAGGAATATAGAAAGTAGGAACCATCAATTTTACGAACGAAACATCATATAGGCCTCGCGTTATATTGGTCCAAGGATCAAAGAAATCATTTTGAGTAAAGTTATGCCATATGGAAGAAAAAAAGTTATGCCCATTGACAAATGGCTCGATCTCATAGCTCAAACAAAAAGTTTGTTCCCACCAAGTTAAAGACAATGTTTTAATGGTTCTTCCGCATCAACGGGCAATGTCATGGAATGATCCGAGGTGTCTCATTCGTAAAATTGACGGTTCCTACCCTCCATACCTCTCACACTGCCCCGACTCAAACACACTCCCACCTCTTCATATGCACTTCACAAGTTAATTTTGATTTTGGAGTCAAATATTATAACACCTGATATCAACCCGTTAAATTAGGCTCGTATAAGGATTGACTTGACCTCGTAGGTCAAGCATTTAGTTCGTTCCCGCTAAAGACGTCTCCGAGACAAATCAAATCGCATCCCAACGTAATTGATAGTGTTCTAAACAACTAAACACTCTTCTCAAAGCCCCTCCACTACTTTTTGTACGTGGTCAATGCTTTCTACTAGTCTAGAAATATTGTACTGGTGAAGAAGAACACATCATTTGTACGACATCAATTTGTCTTCCAACAATGGTTGCACATTGGTACAAATAAACATCCTATATCAATCACACTAATATTTCGTATGGCTTTTGATTCAGTAAAACAATTTTGTACTTCTTTAATGTGTCACGATTAAAAATGTAATTTCAATGATCATATACTTAGAGCACTAGGTATGGTCATCACGCCCACCGGCATTAAGGGGCGTTTAACGCCCCGGGGGCGTTAAACCCCGCCCCCGGCGGCGTTAACGGTGTGTGATCGGCGAAGTGTCAAACGAATGACGCTAGTCATTCCTCTCCCCCTCCCCCCGTAACGGCTATAATAGCCGTTGGACACCAAAAAAAAGAATTTTTTTTTATAAATTCAAACCCTCCCTCCCAATCTCTCACACCTTCTTCACTCTTCTTCAATCTTCTTCTTCCCACATTTTTAAATTTCGAAATTACCCTCTCTTTTCAACATGAATCCTTCCGGCTCCGGCTTCTTTCCCGACAATCTCGCACCAAGCGACGCCGCAATGTGGTATTACCAAGAGTCAGACGATCAACCGCCGATCTACGAGACGCAACAATCGGGGTACGTCGAGCGAGATTCTGTTCCGGAGACTCAACCGAAACCGACCGGGTCGAAAAAAAGTACACGCCGGAAAAGCCACAAAGCAAAAGGCACGATGACCGAGGCGGCACGGTCAATCCAAAAGTGGACGCCGGAGGAGGAGTGCTTATTGGCGTCGGCTTGGGTTGACGTCTCCGAGCATCCTATCATTAGTAAAAATTATTTTTTTTTCTAATATATTTATGTTTTTATTTATATATATTATATTTAATCGTGTCTATTAAAAAAATTGTGTTATACTTTTTTAAAGGTTCGGAGCAAACAAAGGATGCGATGTGGAATTGTATCGAGGAGAAGTTCTTCACGGCGATGAACAAGGACAGCTCCTACCAAACCCGAGACCAACTCACTTCCAAATGGAGCCACATCAACCATAAAGTCCAAAAGTTTATCGGAGTTTACGAGGAATGCTCCCGGTCCCGGAGGAGCGGGACGAACGACGCCGATGTTCTCCGGCTTGCCACAGCTCGATATCAAGATGACGGGCACCAAGGCAAGGTGCTCATCGATCTTTGGAGGATTTTGAGCCGTTCCCCGAAGTGGCAACAACTCAACAATCCCGACGGCGGATCGTTCCGGAAAAGATCCTCCGTCGACGCCGAGGTTGAGGTCGACGAGACTATCTGTTCGTCCGATCAAATCCCTCCCTTCAACGTTGCAGATTCCGATGACGAGGACCCCATTCCATGGCCGATCGGAAAAAAGAAGGCAAAATCCATTGCCTCGGGTTCGGGAGGGTCCGGCTCTGTTTCCGTTTCTTCTCGCGACAAAATCGGCTGGGCAATGGTTGAACTTCGGTTGTTCAATCTTCGAGAAGAAGAGGTTGAAACTAAAGGAGAAGAAGTTGAAGCTAAGAAATATAATTTACCTTAGTTTTTTTATTAATGTATCTTTTTTTATTATTGTCGCTTTTTTTATTTAATGAATGTATTTTTTTTATTATTCGTGTTTCAATATAATTAAATAATAAATTCATTACGGAGTACATTTTATTAATTTAATTTTAGAAAATGTATATATTTAAAAATGTAAAAAATGAAAGTTTGAAGCCCTAGTTTGAAGCCCTGGGGCTTCAAACCCATTTCCAGTGAATTTTGGGTGTAAGTTAAAGCTGACGTGGCAGAGAGAGAAAGTTTGAAGCCCCGGTTTGAAGCCCCGGGGCTTCAAACGTATTTCCAGTGCCCTTAGTATCTTTTTCGTCATGGCTAAAGACAAAGGTCGTTGTTGATACGTCATTTTTCCACTGGAGTCAATGTATATTGTAGCAAAACCTACAAATGCAGTATCCGGTCGGAATCGTAATCTATAACAATAACTACTATTAGAATTTGTTGAGTGTTACTTCAAAGTCCCACATCGATGGGATAGGAAAATTGAGGAGGGATTGGAGCTTATAAATAGAGAGCGGGTATAGGCTTCCATCACACTACACAATCCTTCAATCTATATAATTGTGTATTAAATTTTAGGTTGTGAGTGTCAAATATTGGAGAGGGTTTGTAATTTTTCCGTGCAAAAATTACTAGTGAGATTTTATCCCAGAGGGAGTCGTGCGTGGAGTAGGTCTTGAGGTTCCGAACCACGTTAAATATTTTGTGTGCTCTTTTTCTTTCCTTTCCATTTGTTTACAGTAGGGGCCTAACAAGTGGTATCAGAGCCAAGGTGCAAAGCCCGGGTGATCCAATAATTATAATTCTTAGTATGCTATGTGGTTGCAGCTTTAACTGATCTTCCATATCAGAAAAGAATTATTAATTAGAGAGTTGCAGTCTAGGGAGGAAGGAGATAGAGCAAGGAGCAAGAGGAGGGAGTGTCACTTCAGTGGAGGAGGTGGTGATCCAGTCAGCAGAGGTGGGGTCCGCGAGTGCCACGTCAGCAGTTTGTGGGTCCGAGTGCCACATCATCATCCAGCCAGCGCCACATCAGCATGTCCAATCATCATGTGGGTTCCGCTGATGATTTTTGGAGAGAAGTTGGTTCTGACTAATTTTGACGTCCTGATTCCATTTTTTAGGCCAATTTCCTCAAATTTGGATTGTTTGGTATTGGTTGATTGCTGCTTCAGTGGAACTATGACTACCTTGAAGTTTGAAGTTCCGTTATTTGATGGAAGAGCGGACTTCATGTTGTGGCAATGCACGATTCAAGACTATTTGGTCCAGCAAGGTCTTGAATTAGCATTGCAAGATGAGAAGCCAAGTGATATGAAAGAATCAGAGTGGAGTACAATCCAGAAGAAGGCTGTCAGCACAATTCGGTTGGCACTGTCCCCACAGATTAAAGTGACAATGCTGAAAGAGACATCACCAAAGAAGCTGTGGGAAACGTTGGAGAGCAAGTTTGCGTCGAAGAGACTTACTAACCGGTTGATGATGAGGATGGACTTGTACTCACTGAAGATGGAAGAGGAAGGTAGCGTAATTGATCACATCAACAAGTTTAATGAGCAAGTATCAAGGCTGTTAAATGCAGGGGAGACTATTAAGGATGAAGAGCAAGGGCTGCTTCTACTGGCTTCACTACCAAAATCCTTTAAGCTGTTTGTGCAGTCAATGATAGCATGAAGGACTACACTACGACTAGATGAGGTGACGACTGCCTTGAAGGAGAGTCAAAGGATGATGATAGGTGAAGAGTCTTCCGGGGACAGTCATTTACTAGCTGTTGTGAGTGTTGAGAAAGGGAGGAAGAAGAAGAGTGACCAACTTGGGAGAAGATCTCAGCTGAGAGACATGAGCACTGTTAGGTGCTATTACTGTGAAAAGTTCGGTCACACGAAGAACGGTTGTCCAGAACTCAAGGAGGACTTGCAGATCCTAAAGGAGAAGAAGGGCAAATCGAAGGAAGCTTCTTTCGCAAATGTGATCACTTATGAAGATGATCTCCTCTGAAGATAAGAGCACTGCTGGACAGAAGATTCTGCAGGATGGGAGTATCGCTGCAGAAATCGCAAATGATGTAGGACTTTGAATTAAGGAGAGATTTGTTGAGTGTTACTTCAAAGTCCCACATCGATGGGATAGGGAAATTGATGAGGGATTGGAGCCTATAAATAGAGAGGGGGTATAGGCTTCCATCACACAACACAACCCTTTAATTTATATAATTGTGTATTAGATTTTAGGTTGTGAGTGTCAAATATTGGAGAAGGTTTGTAATTTTTTCGTGCAAAAATTACTAGTGAGATTTTATCCTAGAGGGGGTCGTGGAGTAGGTCTTGAGGTTCCGAACCACGTTAAATATTTTGTGTGCTCTTTTTCTTTTCTTTCCATTTGTTTACAGTAGGGGCCTAACAGTTTAAAGCCCCAGTTTGAAGCTCCGGGGCTTCAAACCCATTTCCAGTGAATTTTGGATGTAAGTTAAAGCTGACGTGGCAGAGAGAAAAAGTTTGAAGCCACGGGGCTTCAAACGTATTTCCAGTGCCCTTAGTATCTTTCTTGTCATGGCTAAAGACAAAGGTCGTTGTTGATACGTCATTTTTCAACTGGAGTCAATGTATATTGTAGCAAAACCTACAAATGCAGTATCCGGTCGGAATCGTAATCTATAACAATAATTACTATTATTGTATTGTCCGTCAAACCAACATCAGAATACATCATTGGTCATAGAATTAATGTAAAATTACACTTTTAATCTTCAATTTAACACCAATATAATCGAAGACCAAAAAAGAACTGTTTGTGAAAAGATACTCATAAAAACAGTCAACAAACATAATATTTGATAATAAAATATAAAATTTAAAAACTCATATTATAAAGGGCCAATAATAAAATTTATTCTTTTAAACTTATCTGTGTGTACTTCTTTAGGGCTGGACATGATTTTAAATCAGAACTAGTACCGGAGCTAGTGGTTCTGAAACCGAATCTAGTAACAAAACCACTTAGAACCATAGGGATTGGTTCCGGTTCCAATTCTTAATTTTTGGTACCAAAACTACTACGAAATCAAAATGGATTTAATTTCTGTATGTTTTTATATTTTTATGCTTATTTTAAATTTGTTTGAGGTTGATTCCCAATATTGACTACCAAGAAAAGAGTTCAAAAAACAATTATATTAATTTTTTACCAAACATTTTATTTGAAAAATTATTCAGAACCGGAACGAGAATCAGAGACGCTCTACTTTCGACATCTCTCTTGGAGACGCTCTCTACTTGCGGTTGTTGTCTGATTCTTTTCAGCCAAAATTTACCAAATATAACTGAACTAAACGTTAGAGCCTTGGTGGTAAATTGAAATTGATGAGGTGAAACTTGAAAGATAGTGTACCATGGATGAGCTGAATTGAAACTAACTGAGCAGAAAACAAGTTGAAAAAGGAAAAACTCTAGATTGGGAGGGAAATGCTAGTGTGAGTGAAGATCTGCATTAAATTCTAAGAACTAAATGAAGGAAATGCTTGAAAATACAAACACCATGGAGCACACACACTGGGCATGTTTGTTTAACTCAAGAACTCACTATACTATGAGCAATCAAATGGACTATAAATTTATGGCAAACAAACATTCAGCACAATCAGAATAAAATCATCTGTTCCATGATTGCACAAACAGAAATAAGGGCTTTTCGTTTAGGTGCTTTTTCCACCCCAGCAACACTCACCTCGCTACGACAAATGGCCTTAGTGCCCATACTTCTGAAACTCCCATTCGCTATTGTCTGAAACGCAAACAATAAGAGAATTAGTAATTCTACAGACTCCTTCGAATAGGAATCTGGCGGAGTTACTCCCTTAAACGTCCAAATTCAATCTCGAAATCAATGTTATCCTTCAGATTGAAATATGGACCACTCGGAGGGTAACTCATCCTGTTCAAGATCCTGTGCAGAAGACCTACCCAAGGGGCACACTTGACGAGTCTTGAGCCAACGGCTAATGCAGTGGAAGTGGAATGCATGGTTGCAAACCCCTATAAACAGAAAACATGTCATTGAAGAAATAAATACTTAAAGTTTCAGTCTGCTCAGTATCTAAAGCAGTACAACAATAGCAAACCGACTATTTTTAAGTAAACCAGCCATGCAATCACATATGATTAAAACTTAACAGAGTCATTATTGACCATTTTTTAGCTTCAGGTTAGTTATGAACTAAATCGAAATCACATATTCAACATCCTCTGCATCTTAGTATCTTACTTTCTATGAAGTTTCGGGTAGCAAATGCAGCAATGCATCAAGGATTCAAGGGTCTACTGAGAATAGCCTCTTTCACAGAGGTAATGCCGCACACAAGATGAGTCCTGAGATCCTAACGGAGTTGGGATTATACTGATTTTGATACTTTATCATTGTTTATGATTCATCAAGGACAACAAAGAAGTAGTTGGTAGCCAGAATAAATATGATAGCCTATAAATCAGAAACTTATAGTCCCTCTGTGTTCCTTTTTACCTCTTTGTCTGCCCTATTTTTGTCTCATACCATATTAAGTAATGTGTAACTATGTATTAGTTTCATTCTTACTTTTTCTTACTTTTTAAAATCAATATCAGCAACAGAATACTACTTTTCTTAATTCTCGTGTCACTACCCCATGTCCTAATCTTAGTGGGACAAAGGAAGTAACTTACATCTGCTATGCTAGTAAATCATGCATGGTGTATTGTAAAAAATCAGCAAATAAGCTAGTTTAGAAATGCACCCTCCGTCCCGAACTAAGGTTCCACGTTTGTTAAGAAAGACGAAATTAAGTGGTCGAAAGTTAAGCATTTGATAGAGAAATGATGTAAACCTTATAATCCTTTTTTTTTAAATGAAAGTGAAACCTTATTTTGAGATAAACAAGAAAGGAAATGTGAAACCTTTTACCCAGATAAAGAGAGTATAACAAGACATAAACTGTTATGTTTGTAACATTTTTAAAGGAAACAGTTAAAAATGAAACTATAAACCAAAAGTTGATAAAGCCATTAGGAAAGCTACTTCTGGAAGCTTACTAAAGCTCAAGCTTATCAAACAAGTTAATCAACAACACAAAAAGCTGATAGATAACTAATAAGTTAGCTGATGACATGCCAAATATATCCTAAAGCAACCCAAAATATTTAATATGTAAAATAATTTTAGGAAAAATCAGAAGCGCTACGGTAAAGAAAGGAAAGGCGATGCATTTGATTGCAGGTTTGAATAAGCAACGTACCCCAAGCAACTGTACACTCCTCACTTGTGGCACTGGCTTGATTAGCTTGACACTCGATACCTAATCAAAATAAAAAGAAGAGTAAACAGATGTATTATGACAGTGCATTGACCCTACGGAAACTTGTCATATCAGTGGAAAGTGGAGCTGAAACTCACAAAGATCCATGATATGGTTCCTGCAAATAGCACAGTTGTCCACCACAATATCTGCAATAGAATAAGTCAACTGCCTCAAACAACTGTATCAAAATTCCATAAAGAAAAAAACATAAAATTACATTTTGCACATTGCACGTTACACATTGTGACATGCAATGATGTAATCAAATGTATTGCTTATGAATGTAATAATGCATCTAAGTCTAGGATATACTTAATTGACTATGTTTTGTTGTGTTTTTGGAATCAATTGGTCCAGATATGCTCAAAAAGTAAGTATTTGGTATACTGCATAAGTTCACAATTTTTGTAACATCGCTAAAAATGACTTCAAATTCTCTGTAACTAATTAAAGCCTCAAAAATAAATTCTTATAAGTTTCCCAATTTGATGTCAAGTTCAGAAATCAGAATCTTAACCTATCCATTAAGGTTCAACAGGTCGCCAAACCACTTTCTCAACCCACCAAAAAAGGCACAAATAGCCTTGTCTTACTGGTCCGTACCACGGGTTCATAATCTCTTTTTCTACCCAAGGTGCTGAAAGAAAAACCGACAGGTTAATCTGGGTACACCACAACCCCAACTCAAGCACAGGATCTAGTTCCATCCAATCCGCTCAACTTATATGCAAGCGAATATAATGTACTTCGTATATACTTAGCAACGCTACTCAATGTGATCATAACAACCCCTCACTCCTACCAGGTGATGATATCTCATATCTGTTTAGAAACTTCAACCAGTTCACTGACCACCTACCTTCTTTATTGCTCACAGCGGGTCTTTTAAAATTCAAACATATTCCCTCTTCTTTCATCTACAGATATGAAGTCTTTAATCACTCAATCAAGATCATGAAACTTGCAATCAGACTCATGACACATTTAGTCTTCTCTACACAGTTGAGCATCGAGAACCCAAATCTTTCAAAATCTCAAAAAACAACATTGATCTTAGATTTTATACATCCTACCTTTCTTTTCAAAAAAAAATACATCCTACCTTTCAAGCTACAAAAAAATATCAGTTAGGTCCATTCTTTTCCATCTCTTAACTTTATTCTACATGTGCTGAATATAGTTGCAATCACGTGATTTTCTTGCACCTCTAGCTCCACTCATCCTTATTAGCACTTTTGGCACACAAGCTTAATTGGTGAGGACTATGCCACTTGAACTTTTACAGTTTACTCCACCTTAAAATATTTCTCAACTTCCATGCAATCTTGCTTTTTTATTATGCTATCTACACGTCACTAAATCATGGTTAGAGGATTTGGTCTAAATTAAAAACTTTTATCAGCATTTGGTCTTCCAATTAGTTAAATAGTACAAGGATCACAAATTTGCACAATGTAAATACAAACATAAACTATCAAATTCAGTTTCAAACATCTGCATCTCGAAAAGAAGGGGATAAACTTAGTTTAATATATCTCATGCATTGCAGCAACAGGTAAACAGAAAATCTCATCCTCTCGCACATCACACGCATCATCAATAGCAGCTTCATACAAGATATTACTAAGTGTATACATATAGAGCAAGTTAGGGTTGCGAAGATACCCCAAGCCCAGAGAGCAACAGCGTTCCACTTTTTGATCTCGAATTTCTTGACTTTCTTCGTTGAAGACGAAGCCGATGCCACCGAAGAAGATGGATCGCCGCCGGTGGACTCCTTGTCGGCCGGAACCATATTGATATCGGAGTCGAGAGTCGCCATGGGTTCCGAGCTAGGGCTAGTCCTGAGCACGCCAATTAGTGCCGGAGATCGGAGGAATTTAAGGCTTGAAGGAGTTCTCTTTCTTTCTTTTTTCTACGGAGTATTTCTTTTTTTGCTCAAATAGAAATAAGATATGACAAGGGATTTTTTAGGCCTGGGCCTGCTAATTTGGTTTGAAACGGGCTTAAACTATGGGATTTATCTAATTGGGCCGGATGACTAGATGTTACTCTGTAGTCCATATGACTTGGGAGTTTTAAGTCGTGTTTGGTTTTGGAAATCATGTTCTCTTCACCTTATCTGATTGGTTCTGATTTGATTGGAATAAGTTTTGATCTGATCTGATCTAAATGTAGTTATATTTAAATCTATTTTTGATCTGATCTGATTCCAATACGAATAAATAATAAGTAAAAAATAAATTGAGGAGAGCATGACCTCAAACAACCAAATCTAACAACTAAATACGGAGTATTTTGTATCAAACACTCTTTTTTGGTGTTAGACTTATTATTCACTGCATAAATACATAAATAAATAAAAATAAATACTCCTTCCCCAAGTAAAATTCAAGGAGGGATTTATGAGAAAAATAGTTTCTTGAATTTTTTAACTTAAGAGTGGTGTAGAAATATAAAAATCAATTTTTAAGAAGTACATGAAAAGTTTTCAAAACAAAACATAATATGATAATATTTTTTTTGAAATAGAAAAGAACTTCTATTGATCCATCAATGGGAGAAGAAAGCTTGGAGGAGCAATGTCCCAAACAATAAAATGAGTATCACACCCTCTAGCCAAAACATGAGCAAACTTATTAAAAGAACGACGAACAAAATTTATAGAAATGAAATCAAATTCATCTAAAACAGCCCTGCACCCATCAATGATGCCTCCAAAGTATGAAGGAAAGTCGGGACTAACCTCTTGACATAGCAATTGCACCACGCTAAGACAATCCGAATAGAGCTCGACCTCACGCACACCACGCCGTCTAAGCCACAAAAGTACTTCACGACATGCCAAAGCTTCAGCCACCAGTGGATCTTGAACGCAGCAAAGAGGTCCGTTACACGCTGCCCGGAATTGACCCTCGGGACTAAGTAGAATTCCACCAAAGCCAACACGTCCAGTCCGCGGGAAAAGGCTTGCATCCACAAAGCATTGCAACACACCTGGCCGACGAATATGAAGGGGAAGAACGGCTCCCTCCTGTCCAGTAGCATCAAACCTATTTCTCCATCCTGCCACCATGGAGTGAATCATCCGAACCACAGCCTGCGGCATTACCACACGCTGCTCCCAGACAGCGGTATTTCAAGTTTTCCAGAGCGCCCAAATAGTCCATGCCACAACCTGTAGACCTTCAAGTGAACAAATCTCACACTGCCGTTGGAACCATGCCCCAAAAGTTAGATTTCTGTCTCCTCCAATATGCAGACTCCTCCACACTCTATCTGCTAATCGGCACTGGAGAAAGACATGTTCAAGTGACTCCCCGGTCTGGCCACACACCGGACAAGAATTATCAAGATTCAATCCTTTAGAATTTAGAGCCGGGATGGTTGGGAGAATACCTCGAAGAGCACGCCATAAGCAAACCTTCACCTTCATGGCCACCAAGATCTTCCAAAGCCGTCCCCAGTTTGAGAAACCAAGTACAAAATCTGCCTCACCCATGAATTTACGATAGGCATCCTTCACTGTGTATTGTCCATGAGACTGCCCAACCCAAAACCACCGGTCACCTCTATTCATAATATGATAATATTATTTTATCAACTAATTGATAAAACACATGAATAAACAAGAGTTTATGTGACTTTAGAATAACACCTTAAAATTTTATTTTGAGAAAAAAAGAGCACTTATAATTAAAAAATATGCAAATATATAAATCATATTATATCGCAAACCATATAATATCATATAATGAAACACTTTTTTAAAACACAATTTAATCTATAAAAATTGTTTAGAAATGCATGAGTTTGTCAAATTAAACTCAAACAGTGTCCGATTAAACCATCAAACGCAAACAGTGTACTAGGTTTATATCATTTCTTCGAACTCGTTTTATGGCTTCATTCGCGGAAACAACAATGGCGTTAACGTTTGAGATGACTTTTTTGATATTCAAGTTTAGAAAACTAATTAAAATGGAAAGAAAATAGTTGGGGATAGAAAGAGTAATTTCCAAACATGGACAAGTCATATTCAATTCTCTTAATTAGTTTGACCCCATTAATTATTAGGCAATGTGGCAAGATAAATACAATTAAAACCCATGGATTTGTGTTGATGGTATTTGCAGATATGACCATACAATATGCATGAAATATGAATAATGTTGAATGAATCCTCCCCCATAATTAAATTGGGATTAACTATACATATTATTTTCTAATACATTGCATTAGATTTGGTCAAGTTTCAAATAAATATACTCCCTCCGTCCCAAAAAGATCGTTACGTTTCATTTCTTTGCGCATCACAAAAAGCAATGCTACTCACATCTAAAATTTCTAAAATTTACCATATTTACTCTTTATTATAAGATGAAATTGTTTTGAAAGTTTTTTTGGCATTTGAGACGATATAAAAATATTTTAAGGGATGCGCAAAGAAATGAAACGTAACGATCTTTTTGGGACGGATGGAGTACTAACCATTAATTCCAGATTTAAAGTTTGCTAAGCTGTGTTTGGTAAGCAATTAATTTCCTGAATTCCCATTGCAATCCGTTTTCGTATATAAAAGTCCGCGGGGTTACATATCTTCCTGTCGTTTGATTTTTAGGATAATGCTACTTGGACTATATATGGGGGGGATATATATAGGCCCCTTAGCTTGTTTAAGAAATAATTTGTTTATACGCGGAAAATTTTTAAGTGTGAGGAAATATTGAGAGAAGTGAATATATATTCAAAAGTTAAGGAATAAAATTTGGAAGTGAAAGAATTTAAAACTGCAAGAATAGAATTTAAAAGTGAAGTATTTCAAAGAATATGATATACTCCCTCCGTTTTTTAAAAGTGATCCTATTTTGACTTTGTGTAAAAATAAGGAAGTGTTAAATTGTAGTTGACTTCCAATTTTGCCTTTGATGTGATGGGTAAAAGTAAGATGTGATGGATTAAGTATTAGAGAAAAAGTATGATGTGATAGGTAGGGTATGAAAAAGTAAGGGTAAAAGTGGTTTTTTAAAAGAAAATGGAAGTGTTTTGTTGAAAGTAAAAAAAATGAAAGAGGAAGAGTTTTTGAAAACGGAGGGAGTATAATTGAACTAAAGTACAATATAATATAATTCGAAAATTATGATCTCTCTGTAGTTTAAAAAATCTTACAATTCGATATCACAAAATTTAAGAAAATGTTGATATAGAATTTAAAAACAAAACTTACATATTTAGAAACTACGTCAAAAGTTCTACTCCTTCCGTTCCACAAAACCCTTTCCCTTTTGTTTTTTTTGAATTCCCTAAAACACTTAACCTTTCTATTAAAAAACCACTTTTACCCTTACCTTTTCATACCATACATATCACATCATACTTTTTCACTAATAACAAAACTATCACATCTTATTTTTACCCATCACATCAGGGGCAAAATTGGAAAGTCAACCAAAATTACACTTTCCTTATTTTTGTCAAAAGTCAAAAGTGAAAAGGTTTAAAGAAACAGAGGAAATACAAAATAAGATGTGACAAAAATACTTTATTTCATCAAATAATCAATCAAAACGTAAAAATAAATAAAAGTGTCAGTGGCTCTTGAATATTGAAGAGTGTAATTGTTTTTGGAACGGAGGAAGTATATGTTTTAAATTTGTTTGGAAGAGAACGAATTAAAGATGTCCACATACTCCCTCCGTCTCACAATCGATTACAATCTTTTTATTCTAATTTCTCATTAATTTTTGTTTATTTATGTATTTTTATTAATTATTTAATTAAATAAAATATTATTGTCGCTTCCAAATTTGAAATAAACTTGAAATCAATTTTTGGGTAGAGTATTTATTTGTTTGGAAGGAAGAAAGTGTAAATGCGTAAATTTCATTTTTAGACGTTCAAAAAAGGGGAAAATTTCTAAAAAAAACAAGGCTTAGGAGTTATAATTATTTTTTAGAAACTTCACTTTTTCATTTTTATTATCTGAACGGTTGTTGGAGATCAAATATACTCTGCGAACCAGAAGTATTTTTTATTAAAAACAATTATATGTGCCCACTAGTGCCGGAAATTAAAACAAAAAAATATTGTGAGTGGTGAAAATCTACAAATTAAACTAAAAGTGTTAGAGGTAGATGAATTAAATTAGGAAAAATTACTCAAAATAATCCCAACTTTACCCGGTTTTTCAAAAATAATCCCACCTTTCACTGTGATGCATAATAATCCCAACTTTACTAAAATTTGCCAATTTTGGGCCGCCGTTAAGTGTCTAACGGAGGATTAACGGAAATGACCGTTTTGGGCAACAAAATGAAAGTTGGGATTATTTTTGATGAATTTTTGTTTTTTAATTTTTTTTAAAATTTTTTATTTAAATTTTTTGAATTACTTTCTACCTCCATCATCATTTCTTTTTCTTTTTTAAAGATTAGTCTTAGTTTAAAAAATAAAAATAATAGATATAAAAAATGAAAAAATGAGAAATGTAACTAAAATAATACAAAAATAATAAAATAAATAAGGTAATCAATGGAAACTAACTTGAAATTGGTAAAAGTAAAATAAAAATATACGGGTGAGTTTTAATATTGTACGTATTATACAAAGTATTAACATATCACTACTTATTTTTTTAGAAAAAAATATCTACAATAATTCCAATTTTACCGGACGGCTTGTTCTTTTAAAAAAATAAGTAGTATATTAAGACTTCGTATAGTATGTAAAATGTTAAAACCCACCACTCCGTATATATTTATTTTATTTCTTACCAGTTTCTATTTAATTTCTATTGATTACATTATTTATTTGATTAATTTTTTATTGTTTTAGTTATTTTTCTCATTTTCATTAATTTTTTTATCTATTTTTTTTCTAAGGTAAGAATAATCTTTAAAAAAAGAAAAAGAAATGGAGGTTAAAAGTAATTCAAAAAATTTAAATAAAAAATTTTTAAAAAAAATTAAAAAACAAAAATTCATCAAAAATAATCCCAACTTTTATTTTGTTGTCTAAAACGGGCATTTCCGTTAACTTTCCGTTAGAAATTCAACGGCGACCCAAAATTGGCAAATTTCAATAAAGTTGGGATTATTATGCATCACAGTGAAATGTGGGATTATTTTTGAAAGATAGGGTAAAGTTGGGATTATTTTCGGTAATTTTTCCATTAAATTATAGGAATTCATGTTAATTAGTAACAACAGTAACCATAGTATATATTTATTCCAAATATTCCAAAATTAAAAAAAAATCGATGCTCAGGACTTTATTCCAAATTTTCCCTAGAAATCTAAATTTCCTTTGATTTTTTTCTTCTAACCTAAAACATTTTTCTTTTTTTTCATCTGTCCAAAAACTTTCTCATTTTAAATATAAAGTCAATTTTACCTTTACTAATTCTTAACCAGCATATCACATCACATTTTTTCACTATTAATATACTCATCAAATCCTACTTTTACCTATGATATCCAAGGACATTTTTGAAAACTCAACACCAAATTACACTCACCATAAATCACTTAAAAATCAAAATCTCTAATAATGTTTTTAGGGTAAGACGGTAAGTATATGGTCCTAATAATTTATGATATTAAAAATTGTGCTAAGTCAAACAAAAAACATTAACGGATGGATGGGAGTAAATAATTTTACACTCCTACTCCGTATATTACAAAGTGATCACATTTATAAAATCATTCAAGTTCTTAAAGCTGAAGTATTCGTTGAATATTTCAATTTCTATGAGTAATTAAGATACGAATTTTTTCTACACAACTAATCAATTATAATCCACGTTGTTAATACTTGAATTAATGCACATCTCACTTTCATTTCATTCTTAAATACATTCATAAATACAACTATTTAAAAAATCACAAAAAAAAAGTGGGGAGCAGTTTTGCTCCAGCAAGTTCTGCATGAGCCATTTTCATGCATCTGATGCCCTAATTACACAATTTAATTAATTACACTCTCTCTACATTATAGAAGCTTCTAATAAATGGACAGTTGTTCTAGACTAAGGCACTATTTGTACTATATATGCTTATGTACACCAAGTCCTTTCCCAGCTGAAGGAGCTATGTACACAAATGTGGCATTCGAAACGTCCTTATAGTCCTTCAAAGGCTCCAAAACCCTGACCACTTCACTCATAGCCGGCCTTCGGCTCGACCTCTGGCTAAGGCATTGGTACGCCAGGTCGGCGGCCTTTTGGGCCCCGTCTTCGGAGTACATGCCTTCAAGCCGGGGGTCCATTATCCGGCGAAGCTTCCGCAGATCCTTTAGCTGAAGCCTCGCCCAGTCCACCAAGTTCTGTTCTCTCGACGGTCTGCTCTTGTCGATCGATTTCCGACCCGTGAGAAGCTCACACAGCACGACTCCGAAACTGTACACGTCACTCGCGGCCGTCAGGTGCCCAGTCATTACGTATTCTGGCGCTGCGTACCCGTGCGTGCCCATGATTCGGGTTGTGACGTGCGTGTCGTCGCCTTCAGGCCCGTCCTTTGCTAACCCGAAATCCGATAGCTTGGCATTGTATTCCTAGAATAAGTAATGGTGATTGATTAACTCATGGCGCTTATTCAATTCGGTCGTATAGTATCAAGAACCAACTCAATCAAAAGTACCGGTTAATACCAAGAAATAGTTCTTGTACTGTAACACGCTTCCTCACATGCATGATGCATTCATGCATGCAAGGTTTGTTTAGGCCTTATTTAGGAAGAACATTTTCAATTAGTATTAACGTTTTAGATATATACTCTTTAAATGAAACAGAATAACTTTGAAAACGATAAAACTAAATAGGAGACTACGTACTGAGTCAAGCAAGATGTTTGAAGCTTTGAAATCGCGATAGATGACAGGTTTTGATGCTCCATGAAGGAAGGCTAGCCCCTTTGCAGCCCCCACGGCTATCTTCATCCGGGCAGACCATGGAAGGGACGCAGAATATCCTGTGTGTATAATTTCAACATTAATTATGTCATTATTTATTATATTATATTGTTCCAAAAAGTAAACAAATTATAATGCAGAAAGTCTTATTTCACGTCCAAGAAAGAGTTACAGGGTGCATGACCCTTGACTTTTTCAACAAACCAAAAAAAAAAAAAGAAGGAAAGAATGATCGATTATCTTACCGTAATTAACTAAAATATGGACAAATTGATCTAAACTTCCACGATGGGTACATCTACCTATAACCTAAAGTTACCTAATCGAGCTTTGCATGTTAGTTGAGGGGAAAGTTGGACTAGTAATTTTTTTTTAATAACATAATAATGATGTAAGGTTTTTTTTCTTTACATATAACAAAAATTGTTTTATAATGTAGTACCACTGTTCCATTTCCACTGGTCATTGTTCAAATAAATATCCATCGCAAGTAGACATTGTTCAAGTTAAATATTTACCAGACATTATTTCCGCCATTAAATATTATTCAAATATTATTTAGAGAATAAAAAAGTTTAAGTAGTGAGAAATAACATATCTTTTATTGCTATTTAGTGTAAATTTACTAGAAAATAATGCATGATGCGTGTCCAAATTTGTCTTTCTTGAGATGGAATGAGGTGGCTGGAACCACTAGTGCCGCACCACCATAGGTGGTGGTTCCCCTAAAGATGGAAAATGAAGAAGGAGAACTTTGATGACCACCTTTGAAGATAAATTTAAGAATTCCCGTTATTCTAAATGAGCTAAAGTGGTAAATTATACACGCATTTTAATCATAATATTCAAATCTAGAAATTGGCTAATACTCCCTCTATTCCAAATATAATGAAATTGAGACACTGAAAAATATTACTCGTACTGCTCTAAAAAAGAGTCCTAGTTACTACTCGCAAGTAAAACTAACTATACTTCTTTTATTCATCTGTCATTTGATGAAATAAAAAATCTTGTTACCATTAATTTTGTATAAATATTATTGATGTAGTTTATTAATATACCGAGTATTATTTTTATTCTTTTATTGTACACTTATTTTCACTTATATTGGTTTAATCGAATATAGTCTTTTTTTGTTTAAAGGATGAGCCTCATCCACGAGGACTCCCCCAGACCCGGCTGGACAGTCACAGAGATGAGGTAAATTACACTTTCATCGCAGATTGAGGATGGCAAAGAATAGAGCTTGCACTTGTTATTTGCAGAGATCTTATGTCTAGCATGACTGCTTTCCAAAAATACCTCTGATGTGATGAGTAAAAGTATGATGTGATGTGTAGATTATTAGAAAAATGTATGATGTGATATATAGAATTATTGGGATTCCTCCAAAGTCCCACACCGGATGAGTAGGAGTAAATGAACCAAAATATATAGGTTCACCCAACCCCATTAGTATGAGGCCTTTTGGGAAGTGCCCAAAAACAAATCCGTGAGGGTTTGACCTAGAGCGGATAATATCATACTAATGCGGGGTTGGGGTGAGGGCATGCGCAGTCTCAACAAGAATTTAAAAAGTATAAATCTTTTTGGCAGGTAGATTTAAAGCATAAAACTTACTCCCAAAGAGATGATTCTCGAGGCTGCCTCTCGGCATGTATTCATATACCAATAGCCTGTGATCGTCTTCGCAGCAATACCCTATCAGCTTCACGACATGGGGATGCCTCATTTGCCCAAGACATATCACTTCTGTCTATATACATCAATTTCCCAATTCCAATCAGAAAACAATCATAAATAATCACTGCAATTAGTCAAGTTTGACGATTAATTAACTAAATATAGTACCACTCACCAGCCATTCTCTCTGGCCTTGAGTTCCGTTATCCACATCCAGGCGCTTGACGGCGACGGGCTGGGCCTTCAATCCGGGTCGGATCTTATCATCGACGAAGCCCTTGTGGACCTGGCCGAATCCTCCCTTGCCGAGGAAATTACTTGGCGAGAAACCGTGAGTGATGACTCGGAGCTCCTGAACCGTGAAAATGCAGAGATTCGAACCGATCAGGGAGCTAGAGATGTCCTCGGAGAGCGTGGAGGAGCTCAGATCGGACACCGAAACCCTCCGGAACTGAAACGCGCTCTGCTTCGGAGCCTCCTCCTCCTTCTTCTTCGCCGGCGCTTCCTTCCGACCGCCGCCTCCCTTCGCCTTCAGGCACCACGGCAGACACGACTGCAATTTGACAGGCGTCGGCGGCATTGTGCTGCCGGCGGCGACTTTGCGCGTATATATAGGGTAGATTTTTCTAGAAGACCGAATCGGTCGCCGTCGTCTTGAGGAGGAAGAAACGGTAAAACGTCCGTGAAACTCAAACGGCGGTTCTGTCGTATTAGGCTTGGGATTGACGGAGAGAGAGGGATGGGAGTGGGTTATATTTATAGTGGGAACCCGCGGAGCGTAAACGGGTCGGGTTTTAGTTCGAAGGAGACTTTTTATTTTTATTTTTGCAAACGAGTGAAGGACTGGTAGAGAGACATGCTCAAATGTCCATGATAGCGTGTATGAAACGGAGTCGTTTTCACTTTGTGACTTGGGTGAGTGGAAAATAACCCAACCCATGTTTACATACTACTCAAAAGAATTTTCTTTGTTCTTAAATCTATTTTGAAAAGATCTACCGAGTATTTTTTTAGATATTTTTTATTTTAGTATGTATGTTTAGGAATTTTATGTTGCATTGAGTTTTTTTTCTCCCCTTTATGTGGATAAATTATAATGATACAATTTTATTTTAATTAAAAATATGGTGAAAAGTCGTCTTCGAAACGACCACAACGAGGTGGTAGTACAAGGTATTTTGAGGAGAAATGCTTCCTTGGTACTTTTCTATTTGAAGTATTTCAAAATCATCTTCTTTTTTCTTTTAAAGAAACAAAAGTGGTTCGATCGTTTCTCTTTCATCTACACAAATCTTAATCACGTATTCTACTATATTACAAAATAAAAATCATGTCAAGTCAAACGTGAAAGATAATTATATGACGATGAGAGTATACTCAATCAAAGTTGTATTGATATATATATATATATATATATATATATATATATATATATATATATATGAAATATTTGCACTAAATATAACTAAAACTTAAGTCATTTTCGTAAATAGCACTTAAATTATTTTATCCCTAAATAGTACTTAATAATGTCCAGTGATGACAAATACTTACTTGAATAATGACTAATCCATAATGACTAAAAGTGCTACATTGGGAAGAAAAACACATGTGATGCTATTTAGGAAAAGTCATTATGTTTTAGTGTTATTTAAGTAAATTCATATATATATATATACACACACACACACACACACTCCCTCCGTCACAAAAACTTCTTCCCTTTTTTTCTTGTCCCATAAACTATTTTTCATTTTTATTAAAAAATAACCTTTTACCCATAATAATTCTTAACTTAACTATCACATCATATATTTTTACTAATAATCTATCCATCACATTAAGGGTATTTATGGAAAACCAACACAAAAATATCATCCCTTTAAGTTTCATAAAAATCAAAATTGAAACATTTTTATGAGACGGAAGTACATATTTTTGTACTGTACTCGGTATATATATATAAATAAGTATCAAGTGTTTTTCTTTAAATGAAATGTTGAAATATTGGAATAATAATATTGTTCCTTGAATTACGAAGTACATGATAGAGTATATATAGAAGAGATTCCTAACACAACTAGGAATAGAGAATAGAGACTAACTAAAATACAACATATACTACAAATAAGATTAGGAAGCTGACTAATAATGAAACACTACCATAACCAATACTACCAGAAGTAATATTAGTATTATTGTCTAACATTCCCCCTCAAGCTGAACTCTGGCTAAAGCAAGAGGAAGCTTGGACACTAGCTGGAAACTGGAAACTTTGAGAAGAGAGAAGTCGGACGTGCGCCGGTAGCTGCTCACATCGTTGGAGAAGAGACAAGTCTGACGTGCGCCGGTGGCTGCTGACGTCGTTGGAGAAGAGAGAAGTATGACGTGCACTGATAGCTGCTAACGTCGTTGGAGAAGAAATAAATTGACGTGCGCTGGTAGCTGCTGACGTCGAAGAAGAAGAAAGAAGGCTGACGTGCGCTTGTAGCTGCTGACGTCGAAGAAAAATCGAGAAGACTACTGGAGGTGCTTGTTTGACTGAAGATCCTTGACATTCTTTGTCTTTTTTCTTGGATCCGGGCAATGCCCTATTTCTTTCTTGAAGAGGTGTATAGGTATTCTTTCCTCTTTCACTACTTCTCCTCTTGGCTTTGCTTTTGTGTTGTTTTTTTTGGAATATTTTGGTTACCAAACGAGAAAGAGAAGAAAGATTGATGATTAGAATGAGTGATTTGAGAAAAAAAGGGGATGAGTTGAGAAAGTTTTTTTGAGGAGTTGCCAATCTTTAAAATTGAAGGAAGAATAACATCGGTCCGGCGGGCGGCTAATGGCGCCGCCGCCCGCCAGAAGCGAGCGCAGAGAGCTTTAGGTCACCAAGAGCGGTGGCTCCGATACCATGTTGAAATATTAGAATAATAATATTGCTCCTTGAATTACGAAGTACATGATAGAGTATATATTGAAGAAATTTCTAACACAACTAGGAATAGAGAATAGAGACTAACTAAAATACAACATATACTACACATAAGATTAGGAAGCTGACTAATAATGAAACACTACCATAACCAATACTACCAGAAGTAATATTAGTATTATTGTCTAACATGAAATGCATGTGTGTAGTTTTGGATGAGATAAAGAAATATAGTCTACTCACAACAAAAAGAATAGTAATGCTAGTGTAGATTGTAGAAGATATGTGTTGTAATATCTCTTGATATCAGAATTTTTTTGGTGTTTAGTAAAACATTAAAGAATCCAGGTTTGATTTATTCAGATTTTACAAGCTGTTAAATTACATTATATGTGTCGGGAATTGAAGAAAAAAGTAATCGGAATAGAAGCAATCACAAACCCTCAATCAAATTAAAGATTTTGATATCTCCCAAAATTGAAAATGTAGATTAATATATGAGCGAGAAAAATAAATATAGTCTAGTTTAAAATGTCAAACTGCACAAATACTTGAGGATGAATGGAGTATAGTGCTTTATACAATGAATTTCACACTATTTTTCAGTAACCCGTATCTTGAAACCATTGACAAAGAAGTTGTTATATCATTCAAAGGAAAATGCCAAATTTAAAACTAGTATAGCAAATATAATAGAAAAAAGAGAAATTTACCTAAGTATGACTAAAACATAATGACTTTCTCAATTTAAAATCATATGTTTTTATTTTCCAATGTAGGACTTTTGGTCATTACCAAGTAGTCATTATTCAACTAAATGTCCATCATTACTGGACATTATTCTTTCCACTAGGTCATTATTAAGTCATATCTAGGGAATAAAAAAGTTTAAGTCCTACATTAGGAAAATCATTATGTTGTAGTCATATTTAGTGCAAATTTCATTAGAAAAAAACTCGTGTCCTTGTGTTGCATCTCAATGCTCGCTTAACGAGCTTCTATGTATCTGACCATTATTTGTAAGTATATATGATGAAAATGTAGAGTTCAAAGTGCTCTAATAGTGAAAAGACAAGCAACCTATGTCCATATTAGCGTGGCAAGTATTATCCATATAATCGTTTCTACAATTACACTGGAGTAAGAGTTTTAATATGAGCGAAAATATGTCGACCGATTATCATAAATTATAGAGTGTAGAGTCGCTTGAGAACACCAGTATCGATCACAACTCCCCTAAATGAATATCGCATATACGTCATTTTAAATCCAAAACCATACCAAACCAATATTGTAGGTACAAATTTAAAAGCTAGGACCATCCTACGTTACCTAATTTGAGAAGCTTAATGTATCAAAAAAGAAAAAAAGTAATACTTCCGTCCCAGTGTATTTGTCTAGTTTGACTTTTTTGAGTTAAACTGGATAAACTTTGAACTCAAATTACTCTCAATTTGTATTGCATATTAGCATAATGAAATACTCCCTCTATCCTAAAACGTTCTTCTCACTTTCCCTTTTTCTCCGTCCTAAAACTACCTTCCCATTAAAAAAAAGATGACAAATGACATTAATATATTCATGTATTTACACCAGTTATCTTCTAACTCTATATTTTGAATGATTGCAAAAAAAATTCAAAAAATCTTTTTCAAGGAGGGTAAAATTTGAAGTCAAAGCCAAAAATTAAAAATAGGGAAAAGTCAAACTGGGAAGAAAGAACGGATGGAGTAAATTTTTTGCAAATGATTGTCTATGCAACTATTTTTAATTACCTAATGTGATAAAGTTTTGACCCAAACCATTAGGAAAAGGGAGGGTAATTTCTGCATACATTTGACGTGGCTGCCCAGCTGACCATTCACTGTGTCTGTAGACCTTCAAAAATCCATCCACTTGCAGCTAATCGAAATTAGAGTAATTTGGCTTTTAAAAAAATAGAGTTTTTTTAGAGTTTTACTCCGCATGCAGTTACGTAGAATCCCTCCTAAAACTAATTACTATTTACATGGTAAAATTTAAATCATTTTATTTACTTATTTTTGGTAGTTATTTGATAAAATTAGTCTTGTCACCTTTTTGTTTTATAGAACTTTTGATGTAGTTTTTTAAATATTCGAATTTTATTTTTAATTTACACCTACAATTAAATAAATTGAATTAAAAATAAAGTCAATTAAACCACACAAACACAAACGAAAATTTAATTTTAGGATGCAGAAAGTATCATTTAACTCGGTATGTAAGAGTAGCTAGTACGCAGTCTCACTCCTTATTTACAAATTAAAGGGCCTGTCTAACTGCAACTTTATTTGACCTTTTGAGAAAAAGAAATATTTAATGGAAACTTTTAGTTTTAGTATTTTTAAATTTAATACTCCCTCGGTCCCTAATTAGATTACAATTTTTTTCTCTCCTCCCGATAATTTTTACTCTCTCCGTTTCTTAAAACAGTTCTTGTTTTGACTTTGGGGCAAAATAAGAAAAGTGTAATTTTAGTTGACTTTTCAATTTTGCCCCTGATGTGATGGGTAAAAGTAAGATGTGATAGTTTCTATAATGTTGCGTTTCTGTTCGTCTTCTTACAATAAGATTGCACATTTTCTTTTGGATATATAATTTACTTAAATAGGACTAAAACATTATGATTTTCTTAATATAGGATTATATGTTTTTATTTCCCAATGTAGGACCATTAGTCATTATTCATTAGTCATTATTCACATAAATAATGTCTACCATCACTGGACATTATTC